CCCCCACCGGGTCTCTCCCCCGCCCCCCATCACCCACGACTATAATTTGCTTTTACTTCCGTCGTTATCTGTGACAGCGGGGAGAAGGGCCTCCCGAATTGTCTATAAACACAGCGCTGCTTCTCTGCGCCAGGACCGAGCAGCAGGGGCGGCCGGGGTAGCGACGGGGGAGGGGGGAGTTTAAGAGAGAGAGACCTAGAGAGGTAGGGGACGGGGCCCTAACTCTAACGACTATCTTGTCCCCCACCCTTGGGCTCCCGCTCCCTTCACCAGTCGATTGACGCCAGGAAAAAAAGGAGCCGCACAGTGAAAAAGTGGGTAACATCAGATTACGCTTCAACCGACAATAAGTTTGATTTCCTCTTACCCACGAGGGGCGCGCGCGCTTTCCCTTGCGTGTGTATATAGCTGACATGGCCAATTGGGCGGCCAATCGATCGTTTGTTTTCCAAACTTCCGACGGACTGAGAGAGTATCAACAAGTCGGATCACGCTGCGTAATTCATGACTCCCCCCCCCCCCTCTCTGCGGCGCACGCCGGCGCACGCCACACGCCGCGTGAGCCGGAATCTATTCCACAAACAAGTCGATCGATGCCTCAAACTCACCGCAAGCGGCGACCAGCGGATCAGGGCAGAGGTTCCCGACGAGGCTCTCGTCGAGGAAGCGACCGCCGATGAGGCGCCCGCCGTGGAGGCTCCCGCCCTGGAGGTTGCCAGCGGGGAGGCTGCCGCCAAGGAGACTCCGGACGTAGAGACCCCCGCCGAGGTTCCGCCACAGGCGACGCACCGCGGGGCCATGCCTACAGACAGGGATTTCGTAGAGAAAATTGCCTATCTTTCCAGGTGGCTCACTAGAAATGCCAGTATCAGGGCGATTGCCTGCGCCACGGGCTCCAGGCGCTGCCACCTCCTCTCCCCTGCCACGGCTCCATACGGAGCACCGGGGTTCGGTTGTTTCATGCGCTGACGCCTCTCGCTCAAAAATTGTGACTCGACCTAAGTCGAGCCCCCCATACCCTGCCCTTTCCACTTCCCCGCTCTCCCACGGGGGCCGAATCACCCTATTCAAATGGGGGCTGTTCCGGACAATTTAGGGGGTGCTAGACGCGCGATTCACGCCAAGTTCCCAGAGGAGAAGCACGGAGCGGGGGCGGGGGGCAACGGACTCCGCCGCCAGCCGCGCTGCGCCGCGCTGGGCCGGCTTTGGCAAGAGGCGCACTTCTCATGAAGCGCGATAGCTTTTCAGCATAACGCGCGTAAGGTTGAAAGGAGGGGGGGGGCGGAGGGCGAGGAGATGAGATGAGGCCAGTTTACAGTAAAAGAGATCGCAGGCTCTTGCGTTAGCCTCCTCAGCGCCGGTAGTGAGGCCCGTGATCGGGGGAGACGGTGGAGGCGCCACCAGGCCGGGTCTGGAGCCAGAGGGGAGGGGGGGGGGGGAACACCCACAGGCTCTTCTCGGCCTGCGGCGCACCAATCTGAATCGCAATGCAAGCGGCGGAGTGCACGCCGCGCCGCACTTTGCCTACCCCCGGACCCCCGCGCACTGCCACGCCTCTTGCACCGTACACTAACTCGCGGTGGCATAAGCCCCCCACGGGTGTCCCGGGGAGGCTGCGGGCGCGGGGTGCACCCGCTGTGGGGTGGGGGGCCGTGGGGGCTGAGAGGGCCTGAGCCTCGTGAGTGTCATCATAAACACAGATGAGTGGGGGGGTTCGCGATGGCGCGCCGGGCAGGGCCCCACTTGTGTGGCCGTCCTGTCCCGCCCTGCACCCGCACCGCCCCACATCGCTGACCAACGGCCGAAGGGGAGAAGACTAACGCGTTAGGGCTGTGGGCGTTATGGCTTACTGCGTGAACTCCGGAAGGAGCCCCGAAAAGTCTAGTGGATGACGGGGAGCTGGGGCCAGCTGGGTCACTGTCTCCGTGGTGAGCTGCGTGAGCTGCAGGTTGGCGCCGGGTCGATGAATCGTTTGGAAACACCAAGAAGTACTTCCCCACCCATCGAATTTTCCACAAACAGACACCTGACGAGAGTACCTAGAGCCACAGAAGGTCAGTGAGTGGTTTCACACAGTTTAAAACATAAATAATAAGACGCCTGCTTTTGAAAAGGCAGGGGGGTGGAGAGCGAAGAAAAGAACAGAACCATAAAGAAACAAATAAAGAAATAAGTGCTTTTCCCGATTGGCATTCTTTTCCTCTTTTAAAACCCTGTCTGAATCGCCTACACAAACTGGTGTAATTACTTACAGAAATGACACAAAGGCACACCACACACAACAACCATAAAACAAAACAAAAATTCCAAAAATATTTGAGGAAGAATTAATATTCTGGTCAGCTAAAGCCTTGTCATTATTCAAGTAAAGTCCAATGTGACAGAGATATAGGGTTAATGTATGCCATTGAAAACAATGGTGTGAAAATTGTGCATGTGTTAGTCTAGATAAAAACGGTCAAACCAACATTCAAAACAGTTCTTTTAATTAATCCCTCTCCCAGGCTCTTTGCAAAAGAAGAGAAACAGATTGCCATCATAATCAACATAAGAGTTTGGTATTGAACACAACAAACACTTATTTCAAAAAAAAATATTTTGGGAAATAATATTGAGGAATTAACAATATTGTGCAGTAATAAACTTATACAAAAACCATATCATAAGACGTGTAACTAGACACAATTTTAATTATTAAACTGTAGCTTTTTGGAGTACAATGTAATCAGTTTCAACGTGACGTTGTAGCAATCAGAGAACCGGGATTGTTTTCAGTAAGAAGAAGTTAACAAACAGAATAAATTTAAAGCTCACATGGAACAACATTATGAAACAAACTATATTGTTTGAGAGGATTTGTTAATTGTGTCTTTAACAGACAACTAAACATGAAAAACTCACTTTAGCCATTTTCATTTTTTAACCTTCGAAATTCGTCTCTTTTTATGCCTAAATTTGGCCTAGCCAGATGAAGATTGCTAACCTTCTATTCGACGTCCGTCCAAAGTAAAGGAGTTGAGATACTTGACCACCTAACCCTCTCTGCAACTTTGTAGTTGTACGTAAACACATAGTGGATTTAGTCTCGTGAGGAGAGTCATCTGAGAGTCGTCTCACAATGAAGAGCCTCATATGTTTTCGACCAATCACTATCCTCAAAAACCTCTGATCGTGAGGCGAGTAACCTCACGAGACCAATAATCACCCACAGAAAGAGAAACCACACAAACTCACTCAAATATCACAAGATATCAGAACGGATAAATATCGGGTGCGGATGAGAAATTCATTCAAATCACGGAGGGCTGCCTATCCTCTGGGCTATTGACAAGCGCAAGTGACGCCGCGTCACTGTTTGCAGCTAACAGGTTGTGAACGATATTTTTTAGACGAGAGACGCCACTCTCTCTAGCATTAAAAGCGATTTAGAGTGTTGGCGATCCCGAGTTTAGTGGTCGCGTCTCCGCTAAAAAACAACGTTTCTCAGGCCACGAAATTTCTAGTCAAAATTAAACCATCACCGTCGATTCACCAATCCGTGTTTGCGCACCCCACAATCTACGCAGTTTCAGGAGTCTCAGGACAATTTTTGTTACTAGCCACCCACTCGGGTCCGTGATTATGTCAGCGCCTTGCAAATCTGTGGCCCAAAGTGTATCTCTCACAGCGACCTCTCGACCTCTGACCTCTCACTAAAGGAACCCCAAAGAATTTATCGCTATATTTTGATATATTGTTCCCCGCACTTCAAAACGCACAATTAGGTAGGCTATATGTTAAGTGAAAAAAAAAAATTCTTCACACTAAAAATTTACGCGACTGCGTAGAATGGATCGCGCCCTGGAACTTAAGCCCGTATGTCGATTCTATGGCTCTGTCGGTAGCGCGCCCGCCCGTGACGTCAGGGGTCAGAGGCTCGACTCGGCTCTGGGACTGCGGTTTGACTCAGGGCGAAAGCGGGCCGTGTGAGTTCCCCTTTCCTTGGCACCTTGCTGTGGTGGTGGAATCGTTTATAAGTCCAAGAATATGGCTGTAAAGGAGCTCCGTGACCTGTGGTTGGTCCCGGGTTGGTCAGTATAGTTTAGCAAACGTACACGTCAACCCTGTCACAAACCCCGGGGAGTGTGTTCTGACCACTGTGTGGCTGATCCCGTTCCGAACTCCGAAGTCGCTCCGCTGCCGCGGGATGAGGAAAGTACTCCCCCCATTTTTATTTTATTTCTGTCGGAGTGGGAGGAGGGGCGTGATCATTTAGCGTCGGAAAGGTCGAACGGACTTTTGTCTTTTGTCTGAAGTCGGTTCCGACGAAGCTGCCTGTGGCCATGTCAGTTGTAGCTGTAGCTAGTTGTTTTCAACTGCGCAGCAACAAGCAGAGGCGTCGTAAGTGAGGGATTGAAAAACTTTTTCGGTTTATTTTTCCTAAGCTTAACACAGTACAAATCTTATAACTAATAGTGAAAGACGCACATCACAGACGAATACACCACATAATTAACAACTATTTAAGTTTTCGGAAGCGCAGGGGCAGCTGCTCAGTTAACGATATAATGAAGGCCATTTTGTTAATCTTGAGTTCCGCCTCCGATCGCGGGGTGTTTTCAGCCAGGCACACCTCGTAGTTCAGAAGGGTTTTGCTGACCACAGACTTGACGCTCATGTCCGCAAAGCGGCTCCCTGGAAAGATGTCAAGAGACGGCGTATTTATATCGTGAACCAGTTATGTGCTTGTAGCTTCATTGATTATGCGTTCCGAAGCCTTACCAATGCATGCTCGCGGCCCAGCTCCAAAGGGGATGAAAGCCAGCTTGTTAAGGTTGTCAGAGTTGCTTGGCGAAAAGCGCTCCGGGTCGTAGGTCTCCGGATCCTGCCAGATGTCTGGGTCGCGCTGGATGGAGAAGCTCGGGATGAACACCAAGGTGCCCTTCTCGATCTGCACGTCGGTGCCCGGGAGCGTGTAGTCTTCGGAGGCCACTCGGTCCATCCACGGCATCACGGGCCACAGGCGCAGCGTCTCTGCAGCAGGCAGGCGCAACAGTGGACTCAGAACCGTTCGTGCCGATGGACAATTATCGTGGGAAATAAAGCTGCCAATCAATCATGAGTCTTCGAAGACTCGAAGCCACTCTCACCTTTAAACACCATGTCGAGGTAGCGGAGCTCGTGCATCGTCTCGTAACTTAGGTTGCCGCCGTCCTTTTCACGGGCCTCGAGCAGCTCGGCGCGCAGCTTGTCCTGCACCTCAGGGTTGAGTGCCAGCTGCCACAGGGTGAACATGACGGTGGCGGCCGAGGTCTCGGAGCCCGCGAACAACATGGAATAGACCTGGGACTCGAAGAGCTCCTGCGGCACTGCGGACAGGAGATAGTGGCAGTGAGGAAAGAACGTCAACAAGAACGAGAGCGGAAAACGACGGATAAAAGAAAAGATTTGTTAAACGAGGGTGCGAGGTTAAGAGTTTTTGAGTTTACAATTTAGCTGACTGTAAAGGCAAATGGGCTTCTATTGCGAGGCTGTAGACAGTATGTTCCCCTGACAGTTAGTGAGCCACTATCCCTTACAGGTGCACTTGGGGCAGGCCGTCGCTTTGCCAGCTAAAGGGTCTCACCTCCGTTCTTCCTCATCGACAGCAGGTTGTCGAAGATGTCCCGGTTGGCGAGCGGCTCACGCTCCCGGTGCTCGCTGGACTCGCGTAGAATGTCCCGGATCACGGCGGTGCGCCACTCCTTGAGCATCGACACACCCGACGTACCCAGCACGTGGTAGGCAAAGTTAGAGAACATGAGCGCGGACGAGGCGACTCCCTCTAGGGCGCCGAAGCGGAAAGCACCCTCCACAGCGTTGAGGAAGGGCGAACGGCCTTCTTCCAGGAGGCAGTTGGACTCCACGCCGAAAGCGCACTGCCCGATGACGTCGATGCCGTAGAATGAGCACAGCGGGTTAACGGCGACATCACCGTCTGCAACAACGTCAAGGTACGGTCACTGTGAGAAGAACAACCCGGCGGTGGCACGGGACGTAGACAGGAAGGCGTACTTACTCTTATCCTTCTTCTTCTCTATGGCTTCCAGGAACCTCTCGCCAACGGCATTGACCTGCGGGTACATGGTCTTTAGCCGGCCGCTGCTGAAGGCGGGTGTCATTTTGACACGGATCGACTTCCATTCTTGGTCCATCAGGCAAAACATGAAGTTGCTCAACGACTTGTCGTAACGCGCGTCGGGGCTTAGCTTGTGGTTGGTGAAGACGTGGAAGTCCTGGGCGAGGAGAGAGTTTTTAGGGCAGGGACAGGCGTACACTACTGCGCAGACCGTGTGGGGCAGAGCTCGAACTTTCGGCACTCGCAGTTTGCCTGCACCGCCCGTATCACATGGATAGGGTGAGCGATGCCGAGCGGCTCTAACGGTCTCGGCCGGGCCATGTGCCGAGAGTAGCATATGGTAGCATCATGGTAGCATCGTGCTACGTTCGGCACATGGGCTGGCCGACCACCGGAGCAGCTCACTCTGCTTTATCACAGGTTGTGCTACAGTAGGTGCTCTGCCCTCGACCTACCTTGACTGTGATGTGCTTGATAGCCTCGATGTCCTTGATCAGGAGCACGGGGCTGGACCCCGCGTAAAAGCCGACGTAAGGCTGGCCGGGGAACATCTTGTAGATGCGGTCAAAGTTCTGGTAGAGCGGCTCTAGCTGCAGCAGCGATCGCAGGCAGTGGCCCACCAGCGGCAGCGGCCACGACGGCGACGGGATGCCCTTGCGGCTCCAGGTGCCAAACTGGCTGCAGGACAGCGCTGCCAGCAGCAGCACCAGCGCCAGCACGACGCCCAGCAGCACGAGGATCACGGCCATGCTGCGGACAGGCGTGAACCAAGTCAGCCGCCCAGTATCCCACTTGAGCGGTGGCGCGGCTTACGGACACCCCCGCAGCAGTGCTATCGTTATTCAGATAGTGCGGGCTGCGGAGCGTAAAGCTCCCACTTTCGCGGTGCGATGGGAAACAAAACTGATGAGAGTCCCAGATTAGAACAGCAAAAAACGTTTGCTAGATTTGTATATGCTGAGATACTAAATTTCTTTTGCAGGTGTAGCAAACATTTGTCTTGAGCAGCAAACTTGTTTGCTGTGACCACAGTTGCGAATCTAATTTGCCAAATAAGTAGCAAAGTAGTTTTGTTACTATAGTCACTGCAAACTTGGTTGTTTGCTTTGTCGCCAAAAATGTTTCTGCTGCGAAAGGTTTGCTTAGTCGGCAAAAATGATGCTGCTGCGAAAGGAAAGGGTTGCTGCCACAGCAAACAACAAAACTTGCCTTTGAAACGAAATGTCCTTTTTAAGTATGTGTACAGAATATAGCAGATCGTGTATTATTAAAATTACATACGGCAGCAGAAAGAAACGTCACTGTTTGTCTCTCTAGACAAAGCTACACGCTACACTTGTACTGTACAACAGCTGGTACGAATACAGGTCCATCATGTAAACACGCAAAGGCTTCAAGGCCTACCCACTTAGCCTGAGGCGATAAAGCCCACATCATTTTGCCATGTAAAGCCAAAACTTACGAGTAGACGATAGACGACACACCAAAATATCGCAGTTTTCACAATTCTTACTTCATTTTCATTTTGAAAGATAATTGGCTGGTCGATAGAGGTGATTAGTAAAAAGCGAATTCTTGTCTTTTTATCTATCTGTTCGCCCGTCTGCTGTCTGTTCCATACAAGATCTCGAGAACGCGACAAAATAGAGACTTAAACTTTCAGGGTCATTTTCTGCTCTATCAACAGACAGACCTGGGCTGGGCACTGTATTTGCACATTTGGCTGACCCCCCCAATAAACGTCAATAACGCACAAAAAACTTTAAAAGAGTTAGAAGAACGTTCGTCGTACGAAAGGAAACGAGTAGGCAAACCCGCAACACTGGAGTGTACCCGGACCATCGAGCGGGAAAAACGAAGGTAGGGCTGAAAGAATTTTTTGCGTTTTCGATGCCATTTCAAATAAGCACACCTAGAAAGGTTATTAAACGACCTGTAGGTTCTAAATAGTAATACCTACAGACATTTTCGTGTCATACAAACTATAGAGCACGAATCACGGTAAAATGTTGGTATCGAACCTCGAGTTTTTCGGCAGATATGGCAAATTAAATTTCTTGTTTTTGCTTCGATTTTCCTATGATTAAACCGAATATTTTCCCTGAAAACCCAAAACAGTAGAAAATTCCCACGTGATCAGTTCAACAAATCACGCCCACAACGGAAATTGCACTTTTTTCACCTTCTGCTTTTACATACACTGCTGGAACGGCCTGATAGTAATCTGTCAGTCTAACAATTTGACTGCTAGCGCAATTTCCTTTTGAGCCATCTTGTAACCAAACAAACACTCCCATCTACA